AAAAACATCGATGACAATTCATCGATGGTGTTCCAGGCAGTTTACATTATCTTTTAACAAAGTCAATTTCAGTCCGATTTGGACTGGACCGATGTCACTGTAAACAGCAGAAAGCTTTCTCATAGTAACTATTTCAAAATATTTAATTTTGTTTGTGTGTTCCCAGATGTTTTGAGAAAAATACAATGTTTTGGTTGCCGTGTTGCTGTTGTATGATACTATATTTTCTTCATTGAAAATTTATTTTTATCTGTTTAGACTACGTATTTAGATCATAGTACATGTATAAAATAATTAACGACGACTAACTTTTTGTCGCTACAAACAAGACACAAAATATTTGGCTTCATATATAAGTAGGTATGTATGCTTAGTATGTATATGTGCATCACCAACGTAAAACTGTAGCTAATGGTGCGCTGGTCTTACTGTCAGCTGTTAAATGACGTCATAACATTATGAACAGCTGCTGTACAGCTGGTTGTGCAGAACGTCTGATCACAAAACGAAGCAGAGAAAATGACATTAAACCATTGAATTTATAGTTTGTACTTACCTATTTTAGTGGATATTCATTAATTATTTTACGATTTTTATTGTTCAATATTGCTGATTATAAAATTGAAAAGAGGAAAATCACTGAGTGGCTCATTCGAATATGTTTTAGCGAATTTCCCTATAGGGAAGTAGCTATTACCGTAGGTGGCACGGTAAGACCTAGACCCGGGACCGATTTACTTTTTCATTTTGATGTCCCCAGAGGCCAAAAACACCATTCGTTCAAATTTTTATATACATATATATATATATAGACATATATATATATATACGTCCGTGAACGCGATAACTTGAGTAATTTTTGTCCGATTTTGATGAAATTTGGTTTAAAGGTGTAAAGCGGGATAAACTTGAATGAGTTGGCGAACCAGCATGATCGGACCATGGGAACGGGGCTTTAGGGGGGGTTTTATGGGGTAAAAATTGGTTTTTCTCACTTTTGACCCTCAAAACACAAAATTTCCTAATTTCTCTTTAGACCTTTTTAAAGAGCTTAAAAAAACAATTAATTTAGTATATAAAAGTATTTTTGTTCGGTTAATAGTAACGGAGAAAATTAAAAAATTGTAAATTTAAAATTCCCATGTTATTCTTAGGGAGAATATTGTAAAATGTTGTAGTTTGCTTGTTTATGGATATATTTTGTATTTTGATCAAATTTATTTATTTTGTACTAAGCTATCAATATTTTACAAAAAACACACTTTATTAGTTTCCTTGTAGCAGCAAACCTAGGTACTCGTTAAACCTAATGTTATTAAAATATATTTAACTGAAAATCAATTAAGACAAATGGAAATTCGCTTAGTCGGCAGGTTTGCTGCGGCGGGGGTATTTTAATATGACATTGCTCGTTTTTCCATATATAAGGATGTCTAATTCACTATATAAAAGTCAAAAGGTCGTTCAGGGATTTTTATTAACATTCAAAACTAATTACCTGCCTTCGAGCTCAATAGACAACTACACATTTTAGCATCTTCTGCAACAGTTTCATTTTGTTTAGAGGAATCCCACAAAATGCCACTTAAACAAATAATTTCTACCAGTTCCTGAAGTCGATGACCACTTTAGCAAGCTGTGGTGTACAAGTGATCACAGGATCGCTTCCAGCATCGTTAACGATAACGTTAACTGCCTCATTGTTCATTGTATCGTTGGATCGTTAACGAGAGAAGGGTCCAGACAGTGATCTATTCACAGAATACTCGAGACTTCCTTTAATAAAGTTTTCCTGGTGGATTCACATAATGCAAGTAAACGACTATGGCGTGGACAAATCAATAGCCCCGCCACAGCAAATCTGGAGACTTAGCGAATTTACATTTACTTGGTAGGATTTTCAACAAAAAAATTCCCTAAAAATGGTTGGATTGTTTTAATTGTTAAAAACTGCACGAATACCTACGTTTGCTGCAACAGAGAAACCGATAATTTTTTTTTATATATTAAAAAGTTAATAGCTTGGTATGATACAAACAAATTTCCTAAATTGTTCGAAACAAGCAAACTATAACAGTTTATTTTTTTTCCATAATAATAACAAAACAATTCTAAATATAACGTTTTTCTTTATTTTCTGTGTAAATCGTTCGACGTACAACAACGCTTCAATGTAGGCTACTAAATTATTTGCTGTTTACGCAAAATATTTTAGTAAGAAATTGCAACATTTTATGTTTTGGGTTTTGAAAATGGGAATATCGGTTTTTACCCAATAAAACCCCGTTCCCCTAGCCCTTAATGGGTCGCGACTGGTTCGCGAGCTCGTTCAAATAAGTGTAGTTGTAGGTTTACTCTTTTGTAACGAATTTCAGCAAAACTTGTTTTATTTTCACACAAGTTATCATGCTAACAGATATGTGTGGATTTGAAGAAGACATCTCATCTATATGGATCAGCTGTCGCTAATTTTTTACTAAAAACGAATGTAGTTGTGTGAGACAGTCACAGATTGCTCTAGTGTCTAACACTCTATGTTGTACCTTATTTTTTGTTACTGACATAGTTGCTGGGTCATAACAGTTGCTAAAAGCCATTTCATCAGTTTGACTTGGTAAAAACCATCGTGTAATCAGCACAAATCAGTAATTTATATCAGTCAGTGCAATCTGTAGGTGGCTCACATCAACTAAGACAAATTTGATTAAAAACCTGGCGACAACTTTAACATGGGGATGGAATGTCTAATTTTAACGGATGGTGTTTTTGGCATATGAGAAAATCAAAACAAATCGGTCCCGGGTCCAGGTCTTACCATGAGATCTATGGTAATAGCTTATGAGAGATTCGCTTAAATTATCCAAGTGGTTGAATCAAGCACGGTTTATTTATTTTTAGTATTTCCAACGGACACAATTTTTGTATGTTTGCTCTAAAACGAAATTTACCACACACGTTAGTGCATTAGTTGGAACGTTGGTTCATTGGTTGATACGTTGGTACATTGGTTGGTACATTAGTACATTTGTTGTTACGTTGGTACTTTGGTACACTACCCTAAATGTTCAACGTAATGCGAGTTGTTTACCTTAAAATTAATCAATTTGATATTTTAAATTGCATACAAATGTTTTTCTAATAAAACCGCTTAAACATAATGCCAACCCATCATTATGGAGACTAACCTATGATTACATAACGTTTGACATTATGGTCACTTGTTAATTAGGAACATACTGCAAACATAATTTTGCTTGGATACAAAATCGATCCAATATGTTATGTAACTGATCGACATAGCAGAATACTAGGCAAAAAACATATTATTTCGAGCGAATACGTTTCTTCAAAACAATAATAATTGTGTTTGTTTGAATAATAGTTGTGAAAAATATATAAGTACCAGCTGATACGAATATGGCTTTACATACAAAAGAACAAACCTTTGCCAATAAAAATTGTTTGAAATTAAAATTTAATGGAATTTTAACCAAGAACACTATTGGTGGCCCAATTAAGCTACCCCTTATTGTAAGACATTTAATAACTTTAAAATATGTACGGAAGGTATTCTTTGCGGTAAAGTATTTATGGTAAAAGTTACTCCATTTTATCATATAACAAAACGTAATAGTAAAAAAATGATTTGCAATTCGCAACATAGGTTTGGTTTACTCGGTGATATTAAAATAAACCTCGTCAATAGGATAGGTTATAGCTTGGAATATTGGATACTGAAGTAGACATCCCATCTATATGGACCAGCTGTCGCTAACTTTTTTTATCAAAAAAGAACATAGACGTGTGAGCCAGTCAGGGACTCGCTAGTATGGAAATAGTTTTTTGACTATAAATCATATAAATAATTAGTTTTTCAAACACAGTACAACACATTTTTAGGTTAGATTAAATCCAAACATTGAACGAAATTGAAAACGCTTCTCCAGCTGACCGTAGTCGTAATATCTATTAGTGTCGCCAACTTATTTTCAAGCGTACGTGTGTACTACGTGCATAATAAAAGCACGCTGTTTTGTGTCGTTTGGTTGGAATACTGGTGTGCGCCAAAGTAAGGCTTTCTGTACACAGACCACGCGAAATCATCACATTTAAATGCGTTGGGATGATGATTCCATCCTTTTTAATCAACACAATGATTCAGCAATAGCAAAAATGTCAATAGACTACTAATTCTTTGTCCTTAAACGACCAATACATAAACTTATATTCCCTACGTTTACACTACCTTATACATGTTCCTATGAATTTTGTCTACGTACTATACAATACATGCTGCTATGACGCTGTGCATGTTTCTGGCACCCGTAAACATATGTCTCCTGCCTCGTGGTTACCCTACACCTGCTAAAGGCGTAACAAATAATAATGTGGCTAGCACATTATTGTTTATTTTTTAACATAAAATGTCTTTATCCCAACATGATAAAAACGAGTATATTTTAGCTAAACAAATTAAAATCTATAAACTATTAGGCAATCCAGTTTGAGATAGCTAAAAAACTGAAGGGTTTGACTGCTTATTGAGATATTAATTTTAAAATAGTGTTTCAATACAGTAAATGCAACAGATATATTAGAAAACCCCACACAAAATGTATTGAGATGAAAATCCATGAGCTATGAACAATTCTTATTTATTTATTTTCGTATCCAATCGAATTGGCAGCTCTATCGTATTATGATGATTTTCTGAATTTTCTAAATTTCCAATTTAATTATTTATGTCTTTCGAGGTACATCTTAAACATGCTTTAGCTAAAGAAAGTTCAATAAAAAAAAGTATTTTGTAAATAGTTGCACGTTGAAAAGGTTGTTTCATAATGGTACATACACAAGTGAAAATGTATGCATTACTACAAGTGTATGATAATTATATTGCATACACATGTATGACAATGCATATACGTGTATGCATAAATGTGGGATTGTTGGAACTTAAATGATATAAAAACATGTAGGTAAAAAAATCATAAAACGAGTATTGTCACATAAGCATTTATGCGTATTATGTGTAGACGAGAACAGTTTGCTTTCATTTGTCATCAGTCTTTGGAGGAATACCGGTTGCCTCATATTGCCGTCGGAACTCCACGTTCAAATCGCGTCCTTTCCGAAATAGTTCTTGCTTCTTTCGTAGATGTTCCTCTATCGTGGTTTTCAGATTCCGAATATTTTGGTCATTTGAGCTTTGTATTGCTTGATTTAAATGGCTTCTTGCATTTTCCATCTCATTGTTGAAGTCGTCATGTACTTTCTGGTTCACATGAATCCCCATAGCCACAAATATTATCGAGTCCAGCATCCCGTCATACTGATCCCCAATTGCAATAAATGTCTTCAAGAATTCTTTATTTGACTCCCGAGATAATGAATTGATGAGATCTCGTACTCTATTATTGTCTCTTATATTCTCTCGTGACATTTTGTCAATTTCCTTATTGTAAGGGTCGCAAATAGGTTTCAACTTGTTTATTTTCTCTTTCATCTCTCTGATTTCGGCATCGTCCATATCAGATTCAACCGACGTGAAAGACCCTTCATCTGGCTTTAAATGCAATGTCACCTTTCTCCACTTATTATGATCTTTGTAATAGAATACGTCTGGTATGATGCTGAAGATGCACAGGTCCGAAGTAGGACTACCGATCATCAGAAGAGTTTCGTAGTGAAAATTGTATATTTCCATTCCTCTTTTGCATTCCCTTTTAAATTCCTTTAACAAATTTATCGGCTTCCATAGTAGTTTGACTGTTTCAATGCACTTGTTGTTGTTGATTTCCACGTATTGATCATAGTCGTATATGCCGTTGTGGAAGTTCAGAAATCTAATATCTGGCAACATAAGCAATGTGTTATTTTCTATTTTCGTTTGCTTGTAACATGCACAACAAACCATACTACGCTCATTAGGCTTGTAATAGTTATTTGTGTAACTAGTGGTGAAAGTGGCACTTTGCTGCACACGAGAGCAATGTTTACGCACGAGCCGCAGGCGAGTGCGGAATGATCTCGAGTGCAGCAAAGGCCTTTTTCACTCGTGTTACACATTATATTTTTCCTACAGTCACTATAAAGCATATAAATAATTAGTCTTTCAAACACTATACAACACGTTTTTAGGTTCAGCTGGCAACACAAATAGGTGCCCTAGAGAAAGTAGTACCCGCGGTCTGTATCACTCCGCTATTTTTCCTCGGCAAGAAATGTACTCCGCGTTTTGAGAATATAGTTCCGTATGTTTTTGTAATTTGAAATGGTTTCCGCGCCTAAAAAAAATGCTTTAAAGGTATTTTCTTGTTTATTAAGATCGTAGGAATGTTTTAAAAACGTTTAAATTAAAAGTCCAGAAAGTTCAGAAATACCTAAACTATAAACACGAAATGACAGGTTAAATCTTAGTTATAATAGTCAATCAGCTGCTCAAAGTATTATTATCTTTAAGTGTTGCCAACCTATTTCCAAGCGTACACGGATTACGTGCATAATAGAACCACGCTGTTTTGTGTTGTTTCGTTGGAATCCTGATGTGCGGCAAAGTATAAACCGTACGGCAAAGTATAAACCGTACGGCAAAGTATAAATATGCAGCAATTAGCAGCTTTCTGTACTATAAACAGTACAAGGAAGCCAACTTTGTCGGGTGACTGTAGGAAAAATCTATTTTGCGTCAGATCAGTGTGAATACTAATTCTTTGACATTTGCATTGTGTGATTAACAAACGACCTAAGTATTTAAGTTTCTCTAATTTCAGTTGTGTAAAAAAACGCCAAAATTGTAAAGTAAAAAGGCTATGGTTTAGATCGTTCCTTTTGAAAAAGTAAAAAATAACAGTGGCGTAAATAAACTTACAAGAAAGAAGCTTTTCTTACTTCCCGTGAAAAGTGTGCTATTGGATCATCCCGACTACAATGGTAATGCGATGGTTATTTTTATACAACAATGAGATGTTCAATGAGATTTGTTGTAACCATGTGTACAAACTATTTTTTTTTAAACACACAAAAATAACATAGTTTCGGGCTTTGATTTCTGTCTGATGAAGATAGTGGAATTGATTGTTCTATTGTAGTCTCAACCAAAGGGGTTAGAGAATATGTTTCATATGGGGGAAATAACTAATGGTGGGGTATTTCAATGTTTACACATACTAATTGGCTGCCGTGAGGACTCTAGGTTAGTACATACTTCTACATACCACATATACTTCTAGGTGTGATATAGTTAAATAATTTGGCTTTAAGGGTTAATTTCTAGACAACTCCAACCCAGCCAGAATGAGGGGACTTCCGAAGAGGTCTTCTAACTTCTTTCCTAAAGAGAACCTAAGGACAAGTTTAACCTCTTTTTTTTCTATTAAAACCATACTCATCAATCAGACCATTTTATTATTTAATTATAATCAACAACACTGTATTTTCCAATGGCCATTTTCCGAGGAAAACAATTTTAGCAAGGATGTTAGAACAGAAACGGTATGGACCATAATCATGGACAGATGATGTCACTGGCCAGTAAGTTAACATGTTTGTATGTATTATTTATTACATGTGACGATAATAACAACGTCCAAATCAGATGTTAAGGTGTAGCATAAGACTCGGGCCGGTGCCGCAAATTTTCTATGTTTGCGATTCATGCCATTTCTGTTCTAATATTTGATTGTTAGTAACTACACTTTTAAGCTCAACAAAAAGTACCCCCATTTAAAAATCCCTTTTCCCATTTGTTTAACGTCTACTATTTATTCTTAATTTTTCAATGGACAAATCCGAAGATGATCTAGGAATAACTTATACATTTATTGTTTTATTTCATTATACAGTATCAATCGTTAGTTTTTAATGAGGTATATCACCTTCATTTTCGTTGCTTCTCGGTTTCCCCTTGCCAATCCTGCTTAAAACGCCACTTCCAAGGGGATTTTCTTCTGAAAGTCCATACAAATTTATCAACCTTTATAAATTCGCCATATCGTTAAAATAGAAGAAAGTTACTTGTATACAATAAACTATATCAGGAATCTGACAAATAGTTTATCTCATTAGATCGTTAACCACCCCTATAATAGGTAAGTTAACAACTCTTACAATAGATAAGGAGTGGGAGTAACTATGATTTTTTTTACATTATACGTTTTTTTTCTATAGGAAAAATCACAAAAGCTGCAATGCCATAATTTAAACCGTAACGTTTACAGCAATTGCCATTGTACCATTGTATTTGATACTTCCATATATAACTTTCTCCCCCTATACATAGTTTAATGGAGAAAGTATTCTGTTCATAAAAAAGTTCGAGTTTGAGTTTTACATGGATATATGCGCTCCCAAAGTGGTTTTCGAAGAGTACCTGTGTGTGTGAAATTGTGTACAGAGCTGCAAACCAACACCTGTGATCGAATTTAATAAATTTGGTATTATTTACTAACCTATGGTGTCTTTAGGGGTTTTTAAACTTTTTATCAGATTTTTAATTGTGATTTCCGTAAAAGAACACGCAAAATACCCGAAAAAATCCGATTAAACAAAACAGCTCATACGATGTTGATTATCATTTAGTATGCTATAACCCTGTTAACTCTTATATACATTTTACATACCCCATTGCTGAAAAATATGGTTAAAAAATAATTGAATCTTTTTCTGAGATTTCTCATGAAATACATTAAATGACGAAAAATGAGGGTTTCCAAAAAACTGCTAGACCTGTTTTGATTAAAATTTAGTGTGATGAAATCTTTTTGACACTAAACAAAATGTAACAACTCTAATGACTATAAATTGCTAATTTCTGTACAAATTACTGTTCAAAAGTAATTGCAACATTTGCGATTTTCTCCATACAAATCACAGTTACTCCCACCACAGCTTATAAGAGCTGATGGCAAGGTAATGGGAGAAAGTATGAGTCAGATTACTTATTCCGTTTATTTATTATATTTCAGAAACAGTCTTTCTTTAAAAATCAATGCTAAAACAAATCTTATATGCATGAAATAAAATCAAATAGATGTCATTGTGTATTTATAAATATAAAACATCATATAACCGAATTTAGTTTTCTTTTTACTTTACAAGCTACATTAAGAGCTATAATTATGATATGTTTAAAATTTACTTTTATGCATAGCTAAAAATTCAGATTACAAATCAAAAAACTTTCGTTCAAATAAATCTACACACTTACTGTCTTTAGAAGAAGTAGAGGGCCATCTAGACCAGCCCATTGACCAGTCAAAAATGCCAGCATCAGCAAAGGCCAGTACTGAGCCGAGGATCAACTAAACATACATTTTTGTAATTCTGACTCATCTTAACTAACTAGTTACGATTTAATTATAAAACATACACAAAATATTTAAATACAAGTGAAGTAAAAACTTGTTTAATTTTTTGAAGGATGTTTGCATAACATAGTTAAAAGATTCAGAAGTCACGATATACAGGGTTAGTAAAAAGTGTGGAGACCCCCTGTTATTTTTTTAACGGCCCATACTAGAAAAACTAAACTCGGCACACCTTTATGGCATGTTATGAAGTACTTTTTGGGCATAACCGTCACTTGGTGCACATCCCCAAAATGGGGGATTTTGGGGAAACTCAAAAATTTCAAATACAAAGACCCATCGAGGGACCCCTCATTTTGAAGGTCCTGGTAAAAGAAAACCAAAAATGCAAACTAGAGGTCTTTATCTCAATCCAGTTAAAAATGGCAGCTAATTGAAATTCTCAGAAGTTGAATTTAACTTGCAGATTTCCAAGTCTGGAGACCCCCTGTAAATTTTGTAGCGGCTCACACTAGGAAAACTAAACTCTACACACCTTTTTGACATGTTATGAAGTACTTTTTAAGCCTAATAGCCACTTGCATACCAAACCCAAAATGGGGGATTTTGGGGGAAACTCAAAATTTTTAAACGATAAGCCCCATCAAGTGACCCCTCATTTTGAAGGTCCTGGTAAAGTAAAACAAACAACGCAAACTAGAGGTTTCTATCTCAATCCAGTAAAAAATGGAAGTTGATTGAAATCTTTAGAAATCGGAAATAACTTGCAATTTTATATTCAATTGGCTGCCATATTTTACTGTGTTAAGATAGAGACCTATAGTTTGCATTGTTAGTTTTCTTTTATTATGACCTTCAAAATGAGGGGTCACTCGATGGGGCTTATCATTTAAAATTTTTGAGTTTCCCCCAAAATCGCCCATTTTGGGTTTGGGAACTTATGAGAATTTCAATTGGCTGCCATTTTGTACTGAACTGAGATAGAGACCTCTAGTTAGCGTTGTTGGTTTTCTTTTACCAGGACCTTCAAAATGAGGGGTCACTCGATGGGTCTTTGTATTTGAAATTTTTGAGTTTCCCCCAAAAACCCCATTTTGGGGATGAACACCAAGTGGCGGTTATGCCCAAAAAGTACTTCATAACATGCCATAATGGTGTGTCGAGTTAAGTTTTTCAAGTATGGGCCGTTAAAAAAATAACAGGGGGTCTCCACACTTTTTACTAACCCATCTTTAAACCCTTACTTCAAAACTTAAAGAAATTGGGCTTAAAGTATTTCAAAATATGCAGTTTGTTTCAATACTTAAAATGTATTCGTTACGGAGCTCGTGTTAAAAATTACATAAGTCGCATTATAACTTTAAAATACTGTAAACTTTCTCACAGAAATATGAAATTAGTTTTTAAAGAAATATACATATAAAACTATTAAATTAGTATATTTATTCGTTAGGGCCTAAAGTGGTCTGGTTTACAGGCAAGGTTTTCTGTGCCCATTAAAATTTAACGAATGATAAGGCACAGGGTAAAAAAGTGTTGTCCATCCCTATGTTAGATGTACCTACTCCATAATTCTTCACAATATTGGTATTATAATTTTTTTTAACTTTTAAAATAGCTTTAAAAAGGATTTTAATTTAGTTTTGCTGTTCAATAAAAACAACACTTTTGCCATTGTTTGTAGTATTGTAGTAGGTATAGAAATCAGGTGTTTTATCTGCAGCATTTTGTTTTGAATTATTTTTGATGAAAATAAGACATTTACAATTATCAGGATAAATAGCTAACATTATTAATTTCTAAGTATTAAATTATCGAGAGGATACTCACTAGTATTGTTATACTTGGCTCCCGCATCGTATGTAAGAGCGGTAGATTCTAACGCTGAACAAGTGGAAGGTTACGTAAATTCCAATTATCATACAGAACAATGCATGGCAAAATATAATTACCTACAATTTTCATTTACGAAATAGCAATTCAGAGTCTTTCAATGTGTACTGTTCTATATAACTTATATCATTTTGTATTACTTTTTTAATGTTTAAAAAATAAAATCTTAACATTAAACGGGTCTTTCGTCTTGCTTGGTGTTACATTGACCTTGTTTTATTGTCACAGCTCATTGCTAACAAGTGTCATTGCTACCTAAATCGTTGCAAATATCGTATACATTTTACAAAAAAAACACCTAAGGGTTTGATTGACTGCTTTTTATTCAGATATTAATTTTAAAATAGTGTTTCAATACAGTAAATGCAACAGATATATTAGAAAACCCCACACAAAATGTGTTGAGATGAAAATCCATGAGCTATGAACAATTCGTATTTATTTATTTTCGTATCCAATCGAATTGGCAGCTCTATCATATTATGATGATTTTCTGAATTTTCTAAATTTCCAATTTAATTATTTATGTCTTTCGAATACATGTTAAACATGCTTTAGCTAAAGAAAGTTCAATAAAAAAAGTATTTATTAAAAAGTTGCACGTTGAAAAGGTTGTTTCATAATGGTACATACACAAGTGAAAATGTATGCATTACGACAAGTGTGTGATAATTATATTGCATACACATGTATGACAATGCATATACGTGTATGCATAAATGTGGGATTGTTGGAACTTAAATGATATAAAAACATGTAGGTAAAAAAATCATAAAACGAGTATTGTCACATAAGCATTTATGCGTATTATGTGTAGACGAGAACAGTTTACTTTCATGTGTCATCAGTCTTTGGAGGAATACCGGTTGCCTCATATTGCCGTCGGAACTCCACGTTCAAATCGCGTCCTTTCCGAAATAGTTCTTGCTTCTTTTGTAGATGTTCCTCTATCGTGGTTTTCAGATTCCGAATATTTTGGTCATTTGAGCTTTGTAGTCCTTGATTTAAATGGCTTCTTGCTTTTTCCATCACATCGTTGAAGTCGTCATGTACTTTCTGGTTCACATGAATCCCCATAGCCACATACATTATCGAGTCTAGCATCCTATCATACTCCTCCCCAATTGCAATAAATGTATTCAAGAATTCTTCATTTGAGCCCTGAGATAATGACTTGATTAGATCTCGTATTCTACGATTGTCACTCATATTCGCTTCTACCATTTTGTCAATTTCCTCTTTGTAAGGGTCACAAATAGGTTTCAACTTTTTTATATTCTCTTTCATCTTCTTGATTTCGGCATCGTCCATATCAGATTCATCCGACTTGAGAGGATTACTTGGGCTTAATTCTATCCTTTCATCTAGGACTTCCTTCACTGTCACCTTTCTCCACTTATTATTATCTTTGTAATAGAATACGTCTGGTATGATGCTTAAGATGCACAGATCCGAAGTAGGACTACCGATCATCAGAAGAGTTTCGTAGTGAAAATTGTATATTTCCATTCCTCTTTTGCATTCACTTTGAAATACCTTTTCTACATTGATTGGCTTCCATAGTAGTTTGACTGTTTCAATGCACTTGTTGTTGTTGATTTCCACGTATTGATCATAGTTGTATATGCCGTTGCCGAAGTTCACAGATGTAATACCTGGCAACATAAGCATTGTCTTATTTTCTATTTTCGTTTGCTTGTAACATGCACAACAAACCATACCACACCCACTATTCCATTAGGCTTGTAAAATCTATTTCGTGTCAGATCAGTGTGAAAACTAATTCTTTGACATTTGCTTTGTGTGATTAACAAACGATCTAAGTTTCTCTAATTTCAATTGTGTAAAAAAATGCCAAATTTATAAAGTAAAAGATTAGGGTTTAGGTAGTTGCTTTTGAAAAAGTTAAAAATAACAGTGGCGTAAATAAACTTACAAGAAAGAAGCTTTTCTTACTTCCCTTGAAAAGTGTGCTATTGGATCATCCCGACTAAAAGGGTAATGCGATGGTTATTTTTATACAACAATGAAGTGTCCAATGAGATTTGTTGTAACCATGTGTACAAACCTTTTTTTTTAACATACAAAAATAACATAGTTTCGGGCTTTGATTTCTGTCTGATGAAGATAGTGGAATTGATTGTTCTATTGTAGTCTCAACCAAAGGGGTTAGAGAATATGTTTCATACGGGGGAAATAACTAATGGTGGGTTATTTAAATGTTTACACATACTAATTGGCTGCCGTGAGGACTCTAGGTTAGTACATACTTCTACATACTACATACCACATATACTTCTAGGTGTGAAATAGTTAAATTTTGCTTTAAGGGTTAATTTATAGACAACTCCATCCCAGCCAGAATGAGGGGACTTCCGAATAGAACCTAAGGACAAGTTTAACCTCTTCCTTCTATTAAAACCACACTCATCAGACCATTTGATTATTTCATTATAATCAACAACACTGTTTGTTTCAATGGCCATTTTCCGAGAAAAAAATATTTGCAAGGATGTTAGAACAGAAACGGTATGGACCATAAGCATGGACGGATGATGTCACTGGCCAGTAAGTTAACATGTTTGTATGTATTATTTATTACATGTGACGATAAAAACAACGTCCAAATCAGATGTTAAGGTGTAGCATAAGGCTCGGGCCAGTGCCGCAAATTTTCTATGTTTGTGATTCATCCCATTTCTGTTCTAATATTTGATTGTTAGTAACTACACTTTTAAGCTAAAAAAGTACCCCATTTAAGTATCCCATTTCCCATTTGTTTAACTTCTACTATGTATTACTAATTTTTCAATGGACAAATCCGAAGGTGATCTAGGAATAACTTATACATTTGTTGATTTATTTCATTATACAGTATCAATCGTTAGTTTTTAATGAGGTATATCACCTTTATTTTCGTTGCTTCTCGGTTTCCCCTTGCCAATCCTGCTTAAAACGCCACTTCCTAGGGGATTTTCTTCTGAAAGTCCATACAAATTTATCAACCTTTATAAATTCGCCATATCGTTAAAATAGAAGAAAGTTACTTGTATACAATAAACTATATCAGGAATCTGACAAATAGTTTATCTCATTAGATCGTTAACAACCCCTAAAATAGGTAAGTTAAAAACTCTTATAATAGATAAGGAGTGGGAGTAACTATGATTTTTTACATTATACGTTTTCTTTTCTATGGGAAAAATCACAAAAGCTGCAATGCCATAATTTAAACCGTAACTTTTACAGCAATCGGCAGTGTGCCATTGTATTTGATACTTCCATATATTACTTTCTCCCCCGATACATAGTATATGGAGAAAGTATTCTGTTCATAAAAAAGTTCGAGTTTGAGTTTTACATGGATATATGCGCTTCCAAAGTGGTTTTCGAAGAGTACCTGTGTGTGTGAAATTGTGTACAGAGCTGCAGACCAACACCTGTGATCGAATTTAATGAAGTTTGGTATTATTTACTAACCTATGATGTCTCTGGGGTTTTTTCAACTTTTTATCAGATTTTTAATTGTGATTTCCGTAAAAAAAACACGCTAAATACACGAAAAATCGGATTAAACAAAACAGCTCAAACGGTTTTGATTAACATTTAGTATGCTATAACCCTGTAAACTCTTACCAAAACTGTACAAACCCCATTACTGAAAAATATAGTTAAAAAATAATTAAAACTTTTCTTAGATTTCCCATGAAATCCATTAAATAACGAAAAATGTGGGTTTGCAAAAAACGGCTCGACCTGTTTAAAAATTTAGTGTGATAAAATCTTTTTGACTATAAACAAAATGTGACAACCCTAAATGCTATAAATTGCAAATTCCTAATTGCTGTAGGTACAAATTACTGTTCGAAAGTAATTGCAACATTTGCGATTTTCTCCATACAAATCACAGTTACTCCCACCACAGCTTATAAGAGCTGTTGGCAAGGTAATGGGAGAAAGTATGAGTCAGATTACTTATACCGTTTATTTATTATATTTCAGAAACAGTCTTTCTTTAAAAATCAATGCTAAAACAAATCTTATATGCATGAAATAAAATCAAATAGATGTCATTGTGTATTTATAAATATAAAAAATACATCATATAACCGTTAATTTAGTTTTCTTTTTACTTTACAAGCTACATTAAGAGCTATAATTATGATATGTTTACAATTTACTTTTATGCATAGCTAAAAATTCAGATTACAAATCAAAATACTTTCGCTCAAATAAATCTACACACTTACTGTCTTTAGAAGAAGTAGAGGGCCATCTAGACCAGCCCATTGACCAGTCAAAAATGCCAGCATCAGCAAAGGCCAGTACTGAGCCGAGGATCAACTAAACATGCATTTGTGTAATTCTGACTCATCTTAACTACTAGTAACTAGTTACGATTTAATTAGAAAACACACGCAAAATATTCAAGTACAATTGAGTTAAAAAACTTGTTTAATTTGTTGAAGGATGTTTGCATAACATAGTTAAAAGATTCAGAAGTCACGATATATATCTTTAAACCCTTACTTCAAAACTTACAGAAATTGGGCTTAAAGTATTTCAAAATATGCAGTTTGTTTCAATACTTCAAATGTATTCGTTACGGAGCTCGTGTTAAAAATTACATAAGGCGCATTATAACTTTAAAATACTGTAAACTTTCTCACAGAAATATGAAATTAGTTTTAAAAGAAATATACATATAAAACTATTAAATTAGTATATTTAATCGTTGGGGCCTAAAGTGGTCTGGTTTACAGGCTAGGTTTTCTGTGCCCAATAAAATTTAACGAATGATAAGGCACAGGGTAAAAAAGTGTTGTCCATCCCTATGTTAGATGTACCTACTCCACAATTCTTCACAAAATTGGTATTATAATTTTTGTAACTTTTAAAATAGCTCTAAAAAGGATTTTAATTTAGTTTTGCTGTTCAATAAAAAGACACTTTTGCCATTGTTTGTAGTATTGTAGTAGGTATAGAAATCAGGTGTTTTATCTGCAGCATTTTGTTTTGAATTATTTTTGATGAAAATAAG